TGGGGGGTGGTTCCCCCCAGCAGACCAGGGAGACATGGAGCAGCTTTTCTCACCCCGGAGGACGCGGGAGGCCTCACCCACGTTCCTGTTCTACTTATGGGGGGCTTGGCATAGTGGCAGCAGGGGTTCCCCCTGCTACTCATCACAGCAGCAGGAGCTGGAGCGGCCTGCCACCCTACCCTCCCTGCCAGGAAGTGGACTGCCCTGGGTTTGGGGCTCTCTGCTTTCCGCTACTGCTGAGAAGCTGCACACAGCAGGCCAGTAGAAGGCAGCAGGGTGGAGCGAAGAAGGCTGCTGGGTTGTTCTGGCTTCCTCTGTGGCGGTGAGTACGTGTTGGGAGGATCCTTGCTGCCACCCCAGCAGGCCCTCAGCCCACGGTAATCCCACGGGTCGTTGATGGCACGGAAAAATGCGGAACTTGGGGCCCTAAACTACTACAGATGGGATGGTTCTTGTAGTGGGAAGTGCAGCAACCCAAGCTCAGCACACTCTGCACGACCCAACGATGGCAGAGCGGAGGGCTCCCACCACCGCTGAAGAGCGCCGGGACAGGCCTGACCTCTGATGCTGACCCCAGGTTCTCTCGGGCCTCCTAAAGCTGGGGGCCTGAGGCAGCTGCCCTGAAGCATCCAATGGATGGGACAGCTCTGTCAGCTAGCAAGGACAGTGAAGAATAATACAATGTCAAGCCTTCTGTCAATCAGAGATGAGGAAGGGAACACGTTAGGAGCTGCACCGATCATGCAAAGCTAGTCACAGCTACGGAGAGATCAAGCTCTTGCCACACGAAGAGTGCAAAAGTCTTGCAGGATTTCCAACGTTCTCCTGTCTTAACTGTTCGAGTTGTGCAATCGTATCAGTCACCTGTGCTGTGGTTGATAGAAATCTCTCTCTCGTCTCCATCCCCTTGATCCCCGACACTCAGCTCCTCCCCTCGTTCAATCCGGGATAGGATGTCGGGTTTGGAAATGGCATAGTCTGTTCATAGGAAGAGATATTAAGGGAAAGCATATAGCAATAAGCTACATGTACCCAAGTCTGTCCTTTCACTGCACTCTAGGGATGGATGCACCCTTTGAGGGCTGCAGCCATCCACAGAATGATGTGAGGAGGGGAGAAGGAAACAACTTCTGCTGCTGCTTCCTCCCCTCTAGTTACTTCCTCCCGGGCAGCAGCCACACATACATTCCATCCAAGAAAGGTTTGTAATGTGTACATTAGCCACTGGAGTCAGAGGATGAGGCCCCTAATGTCCCGTTATTGGATTTTTAAGGGGAGCAGCCAGATCACTGCTGTGCCCATGGGGTGTTTGCCCCAAAATCTATACAAAGGAGGGCATGTGAGGTGTCAAATGAAAGCTTATGTTCTACTGATTCTATATATTGATAGAGATACAGCCGTGTTAGTCTGGTGTAGCTGAAACAAAAGACAGGACTCTGCAGCACTTTAAAGACTAACAAGATGGTTTATTAGGTGATGAGCTTTCGTGGGCCAGACCCACTTCCTCAGATCAATATGTGGAAGAATGCTATATATGCTACTCATGTACTGGTATGATGCCTGTATGTGGAGTTATGAATATGGGCTCTGGGCTTGTACTGTAAGTGTTCTCTGCCTGAGGCAGAGCAATGGGCCTGGACTGCCTGTCGTGAGGAAGGAATGTCCAGTGTATGACTGTGCTAATTAGCAGGGCCCCAAGGACAATGGCTTTCAAGGTGTCCAATACACACCTGAGTAATGCGTCTGGAAACCTGCAAAACCAGTCAGTATCTAATGGCTGCTAGCATGAGACACAGGGATAGGTCACTTGGCCATGTGACCCACTCCAGCTTGGAAGGTACCAGGAATGGATATAAAGTGCCATGAGGCAGACTCTATCTTGACTTCAATTCTGCTATTGATCCCAGATGCAGCCTTGCGAGGGACAGAGAGCTGGGAAGGATCGTGGACCCATCCTGACATAGGATGTACACTAGAGACTTTTAAGCTAGCAGTTTGTCACATCTCTGCTGAGTGCCTGCATCAAGAACTTGGTGATTGGTGCATGTAATGTATTCTCCTTAATAACCTTACTCTCAACATTTTCCTTCTTTCGTTAATAAACCTTTAGGTTTTAGATTCTAAAGGACTGGCCCAGCATGATCTTGTGGGTAAGATCTAAAGTGTAAATTGACTGGGACTCTGTGGCTGGTTTTTTGGGACCAGGAGAACCTGTTTAGGGTAGGTAAGATGGAGTTCTATAACCCCTTACCTGTGTATTAGGCCCGGGGCTGATCGTGGAACAGGGAGAGCTGGGGTGTCTGAGGGGTTTTGCTCGTGAGGCATCCTGCTAGCTAGATTGGCAGCTGAAGTGCTTGGTGTGACTGCTTTGTGGCCTATTTGGGAAAGGTCTCCAGTCTGGGGCAGTAAGCAGCATTTTTTTTGAGCAATTTGCCCTGAGCGGACGCCCTCAGCTGTGCCCAGATCCAGTCCGGTCCGTCACACCTACCATGTGACAGACAGGGCTGGATTATGAGAGAAGCTTTAGGGCTGTAGCCCAGGGGTGGGTGAGAGATGGTGGACATGGGGGGGGCGGGGAGGCTCTGCGTGCTGCCATTCTCCCTCCCCCCATGCTAGGGTCCCATTGCTGTTAGTGCAGGGAAGCTCTCTGTCCCTGTGCTCACCTGCATCATTTCCCCTGCTGCTCCCATTGGCTCCCACAGGAATTGTGGCCAATGGGAGCAATGTGTGTGGGGAGGGGTCTAGGTCTCTACAGCTGAAGTAGCAGGGTTCCAGCCCTAGCAACTGGGGATATGAGAGATTTATAAAGCAATTATGTCAGTTATCAGCCACATTAGTTTGTTGCTCTGGAAGGGAACCAGGGATCTCCACACACACAGGCATATATCATAGGATAGTAGGACTGGAAGGGACCTCGAGAGGTCATCGAATCCAGTCCCCTGCCCTCTATATATGTATAGCACAAGTATTAATCCACTTGTATAAGAACCACTGTGTAGGTTCTTTTATCATTCCTACCACTGCAGCATCCATGCACCTTGCAAAGCTACAAAGAGGCTGGGTCCCAGTGTATGTGTGGCTGCTTTCAAGGCCAATCCATGAGACAGCCCAGTGCTTATTAAACAACAGCGTTAACTAAAGTTGAGAACGTAAATCTACGAAAAGCAGGAAAAAAACCAACAGTCGTTTGAATGCATAAACATGGAAATAAAAGCAGTGGGTGCACACTCCACACTGCAGAGAGTTTTAAACCAGATCCAGTCCCTGGCAAGTTTCCATGCTGGAGAGGAAAGCCCGAAGCCTCAGCACCTCCCTCACCCCCACAGGGCTGACATGTGAGCACTAGCAAGCCCAGCTGTGAGTGTGGAGCCCTGGTGCCCCGAGCGGAGTGTGAGTGGGGTGAAAGGTTTTTTCCCCCACTCCTCACTTGGGGGCCAGGTAATGAGTGGAATGCCACTCGTCATGCAGACAGCAAAGGGAGTTGAGCCCAGATCACCACGTTTCCAGTTACTAGAAGGGCCAATCCCCAGAACTCAAAGAACTGGAATAAATCTGGAACCGAATGCAATATTTCAAAGATCAGAATCCCCAGAACTCAAAGAACTGGAATAAACCTGGAACTAAATGCAATATTTCAAAGATCCAAACTTTTCTAACAGAAGAGCAAAAACTTATCTTTACCCAGTGATATCAACGTCTCGTAGTTGCTTTTCATCACATTCTTGTACAGTTCTTTCTGCCATTCATTTAAATGGCCCCACTCTTGCTCATTGAAATAGACTGAGACGTCATCAAATGTTACTGGCACCTGGAATCACAAGTATCACACATTCAGTGCCTTCTCTTGTGACCATATTCTGAGGCCTGCTTCCCTCTACCTTCCATTAAAAAGACTTCCCTCACTTCTGTTTCCTTTTAAATAAAGTACTAAACATGGGTAATTGTGAACAAGAAAAACACAAATGACCAAATCAGTTCCTTTGTTCTAAGACATTTTATGAATGGTAAATTAAAGGGCCAATATATCAATTTCTTTAAAAAAAATCTTTAATCGTTCATTGACTTTGTAGCTACTTTTCACCATTAGCTGGGATATTGTTACCTTGGGAACTTCCCCCTTTGTGCCTGGGGGGAGTCTCAGGAGCCAGAAGTTCCTGTTCTTCAGCAGGTTCTCCATGTTCTCCAGCCTCCTCTGCAACAGCCCGTACTCCTGGATCAGAGATCCTAGCACAGCCCACTTGCTCTCCAGCTGGCTCCCAAACTCCACCACAGTTTTCTCACAGTCTATTAGTTTCTTTTCAGTCATCCCTGTTCTCCCTTCCAGATTCAGCAAACATGCAGCATGAGAATCAACTCTCCGCTCCATGTCTTGAACAACAGCCCGGGAGACCTCTGCAGTTTGCAGTTGTGTTTCTCTCAGTGAAGTCTGTCTGAGGCTGGTGGAGGGATGCAAAAGTGTCAGGTGCCGCCAGGATTCTAAGTCCCATTCTGGAGCCTGTTAGCAAGGAGAGAAATTCCAAGTGGGGACTGTGACTCTGATTCACCTGGCAGTCTCCTTTCTGCATCTCTTCAAATGCTTGAATAGTACGGGGCTGGCCTGAGATGAACTTGTATTTTGGCAGTCCCCACTGCCTCTGAACCCCTAACCTCTGCCCTTCTTCCTGCACTCCCCCTTTTACTCTAACCTCTGCATTCACATGGGGAATCTGATCTGGATGCACAATAGGGATGTAATAGTATAGTGGATTAACCGATTAATCAATAAGCAAAAGCTTATAGGTTAATACTACAGACTACATTGTATTCCCCCCTCCCTCCTCCAACCCTTGCCAGTAATTTTTTTAGCAGGTTGGCCAACAGCCCAGCTCAGTCCCAGCTTGTACTGGGTCCTGGACCTACCCCAGCTGAGGCTCTGCATTTCATGTGTATTAGGAGCCAGGCAGCCCAGCTCAGTTCCGGCTTATGCCAGGTCTGGGAGCTCAGACCCTTCCTCCCTGGACACAGACTGCCCAGGAACTACAGAACAGTGTTTCTCAACCTTTTTTTTTTATGAAGTACCCCTTTAAAAAAATTTATAAGTACCCCCAGTACCTATAGTTTTCAGACACACAACATTTTTTTCCTACCGTTGCAACACATTTGTTTAAACTACTTATTCGTAGCAGGGTGGGTGATGAAATTTTTGGGTGTAAAACGTATAAAAATAATAAAGTATTGTAAAACTTAACACAAAAATTCAGTTTTCTCCAAATTTCAGTTGTGTTGATGTACCACCCGCATACTTCTCTCAAGTAACCCTTAGGGTACTCGTACCACTGGTTGAGAAACACTGGTATAGAGCAGTCGACTAACCAATAAGAATTCATGAGGTTAATCAATTATTCAATTAACCAGTATTTAACATCCTTAATGCACAGAGCAGCCAGCATGCATTACTGCACCCCCCTTTCACTGCTGCTCCTTTGCGCACCCCTTGGGGGCTCTAGGGAGGGAGCAAAGAGTGACACCAGGTAACTCCTGCATCCAGGTCACTTTCCCCACTCGGGCTGCGTAAGGGAAGGACAGGAGAGCAGCAGCTCCTGATGTCTCGCCTCACAGCACAGCCCAGGTGGCGAAAGTGACCTGGATATGTGTGGAGTGCATAGTGTTGCTTCTCACTCTCCCATGCACAGCCCCCTGGGGGGCACATGGAGGAACACAGGGGGGAAGCAGTATCTGCGTCTCACTGCTCATCCCCCGTCAGTTCCTTCACCAGGAGGAAGCAGGGAAAAGTCTGGGGCACCTCTCTATTTGGTGTTCCCCTGCTAGTCAGAAGCAGTTTTTCACACTAAACCATCAGTGTGCACAATGCCCACACAGATAGCCCATCCCTAAGGTCCAGACTCCAATGGTAATGAAGGCACTAGGGCGTTACACTATCATTTCAATAAAAATAACATAGAAATGAGAGTCTGGCTACCTATGAGGAGAGGCTGAGGGATTTGGGTTTGTTTAGTCTGCAGAAGAGAAGAGTGAGGGGGGATTTGATAGCAGCCTTCAATTTCCTGAAGGGAGGTTCCAAAGAGGACGGAGAGAGGCTGTTCTCAGTGGTGATGGATGGCAGAACGAGGAGCAATGGACTGAAGTTACAGTGGGGGATGTCTAGGTTGAATATTAGGAAAAACTATTTCCCTAGGAGGGTGGGGAAGCACTGGGATGGGTTACCTAGGCAGGTGATGGAATCTCCATCCCTAGAGGTTTTTAAGTCTCTGCTTGACAAAGCCCTGGCTGGGTTGATTTAGTTGCGATTGGTCCTGTCTTGGGCAGGGGGCTGCACTTGATGTCCTCCTGGGGTCTTTTCCAGCTCTATGATTCTACCTTTCTTTGTCATGTACCACTGCCAGTATTAAGTGTTCAGTAAAGCACCTTTTACCATTAAGGCCACTTTGGCTTTGAGTCAGAAGGAAGGAATCATGAGACTGGAAGGAAACTTGAAAGGTCATCAAGTCCAGTCTCCTGCACTGATGGCAAGAGCAAGCACCATCTAGATCAGGGGTGGGCAAGAGGGCCTGCCAAGTGGGTTGATCTGGCCCACGGAGGCCCTGCTGCTCCCCTGCCCTCAAATCAATCAGGGCCTAGGGATGGGGGAGCGCATGGTGCTTAGAGTCAACCCTAGCAGTTGACTATAAGCACCTTGTGCCAGAGAGCAGGGAGTGAGAGACTTCATGCGCTTTCCCACTGCCCCCAGGTCAGTCAGAGCCTGGGGGCAGGTGGAGAGTGCATGAAGTCTCCTCCCACCATGCAAGGGGTGTGGCGCTTGTAAGTGCCACATGCTCCTTGCAGGACGGGGGCAGGGTGGAAGGAGACTTCGAGCATCCACATGCTCCTTGCAGGACGGGGGCAGGGTGGAAGGAGGCTTGGGCACCCAAGCTGCTCAGCTGGAGGCTGACTCTAAGCACGGTGCACCCTTGCAGGGCAGAGGCAGGGAGCAAGAAACTTTGTATGCTCCCTCTTCCCCAGGCCCTGACTGACCTGGGGAAAGAGGGGGAGCATGCGAAGTCTCCTCCCACCGCCAGAGGCATGGGTGCCTGGAGCAGGGGTGAGCTATAACAGAACAGCGGGCAGTTCTCTCTGGAGTGTGGGGGCAAAGACTTTGCACACTCCCACACCCTCAGGCCACACTCCCACACACCTGGTCTGTGGGTAGGGAAGCACAAAAGTGTCCTGGCCCCACCCCTTCTGCCTGAGGCCCTGCCCCTTCTGGGGCCACTTCAAAATTTCTGAGTTTTGAGGGGGGGGGGGCACTTCAAGATTTTGGAAAGTGGTCGAGGGCCTCACTCTCCCATGGTATTAATGGAGGAGGTGCAGGGTCTGGAATGGAGGTTGGGAGCAGAAGGGAGTTTGGATAAGGGACCGGAGCACAGGAGGAAGAATGGAATCTGGGAGGGAGTTTGGATGAACAAGACAATTGTGACTTAGGGCAGGGAATTGGGGTGCAGGGTTTTGGGACGTGACCTAGAGTAGGAGGAGATTATGGTCCTGGCAGGAGACTGGAGTGCCAGATCGAGGAGTGGTTATGGGTGCATGTGGAGTACCGGGGTAGGAGGGGAGACAGAGGGTTGGGGAAGGGAAGGGCTGGGGTGGGGTGCCAGAGGCAAGGTTCTGGCCAGGAGACTTACCAGCCAGCACTAAAAATGTTTCTGCCTGCCCAGCCATGTGCTTGAGTGAGTAAATGAGCAGGAGGGGAAGAAGGCTGTGCTTTGTGGCTCCCTGTTATTCAAACAGGCAGCTCCCACTGGCCAGTTTATGTCCAGAAATTGACCAATGAGATTGTGCTGGGGGGCAGGAGCAGCATCTGAATCTTCCCCCCTCCCCTCTGGGCTCATAACGAGAAATTGCCCAGCAGCTGTGTTTCTGAGCAGTCTGCGGGGCAAGCAGGGGAGCCTGCTTGGGGCTTCCTACTGCCTCAGAGGGCTGGATCTGGTAGCTTGGCGGGCTGCATCCAGCCCACAGGCTGTATTTTGCCCAGGCCTAGCCTAGAGGGAACTGCCAGCTGTTCAGAACAGCTGGCAGTTCTCTGGGAGAAGGATGGGGGCAAAGACTTTGCTCACTCCCCTTCCCCCGGACCAATCAAGAGTCTGTGGGTGGGGAAGCATGGAAGTGTCCTGGCCCTGCCCCTTCCGCCTGAGGCTCTGCTGCTCCCAGGGCGGGCCAGGGCCACTTCAAAAATTTCTGAAGTGGCCCCGGGTCAAAAATTATTCCCCACCTCTGATCTAGATCTTCCCTGACAGATGTTTGTTTAGCTTGCTCTTCAAGATTTCCAATTATGGAGATTCCACAAGTTCCCTAGGCAATTTATTCCAGTACTTAACCACTCTGTCAGTGAGGAAGTTTTTCCTAATGTCCAACCTTTATAGGTCATATTTTTAGATCTTTAATAATTTTTGTTGCTCTTCTCTGCACCTTCTCCCATTTCTCCACATCTTTCTTGAAATGTGTGCCCAGAACTGGACAGAATACTCCAATTGAGGTTTAATCTGATCAGAGTAGAGCAGAATTACTTCTTGTGTCTTGCTTACAACACTCCAGGGTATACATCCTAGAATATTTGCTTCTTTGCAACCATGTCACATTACTTACTCACATTTAGCTTGTGGTCCACTATGTCTACTAGGTCCCCACAGAACTCCTTGCTAGGCCTCCCATATTGTTTGTGTGAAACTGATTTTTCCTTCCTATGGTCTCATTGATGCACATATAAGACTTTGCCTTCACCAGTTTCTCAGAGGGTAAATGAATTAAACTTAATGTTGTTGCTGACACACAAGAAACAGACTCCAACTAGCTATGCTGCCTAAAAAGTGCAAAAAAACCCTAACCACTTATTTCTGCCCTTTTTCCAGGCAGCTATGGTGCTGAGCATAGCTGCAGGAATAGGACTGTATTTGGCTATCAGAATACGTGAGGCCACGTGGCTATTAAAATGTACTCCACATTGGGAAGCCTGAAGTTTGGGGGGGTGAGAAAGGAAAAAGGTGTCAGTTAGTCCATGTAGAATGGGAACCACCAAAGCCCAGGACCCTCCAAAACCCAGCAAGTGGCTCCAAACCAGCAGGAGCTGCCCGTAGTGCCTAGGAAACACGAATCTGATCTTTCAGGCACAGCCCCAGGGCGACCAGGCCAGGCCGTACGAGGCTCCCCATGGGTGAAACTGGCTTCCAGGGCCCAGGCAGGGCAAGGAGAAACTCCTGGGGGATAAGGCTCCCCTGTCAGGGGATTTTTTGCCCATAAGCTCTGGAACTATAAGGGCTGGTGATGCTGCAGCACCCCCTGACTTGAAGTTTTCCATTAGAGAGGGTGTTCCCTGTAAAACAGGCACCCGCTTAGAAGAGTCAAAAGCCACCCAGTGGATGAGCAGAACACCCACAGCTAGGTTTCTGCTTCTACTAGTGGTGCACATTCACACATGCCCCCGTGCACGTACCATTTATTCCGCACATGGGTGGCACAGATTAGCGGGAACATTGGAGGAGACTTGAAGTTTTCCATTAGAGAGGGTGTTCCCTGTAAAACAGGCACCCGCTTAGAAGAGTCAAAAGCCACCCAGTGGATGAGCAGAACACCCACAGCTAGGTTTCTGCTTCTACTAGTGGTGCACATTCACACATGCCCCCGTGCACGTACCATTTATTCCGCACATGGGTGGCACAGATTAGCGGGAACATTGGAGGAGAGTGGTTCACAGCTCTGCCAATCAGCACCCCCCTCTACACATTGTTCCAGCCCCGCCCGCCGGCCGGCC